AAATCGTTACAGCGCCAACAGCGATGGGTAGCAGACGGTCATTGAATGGGGTAGACCAAAAGGTCATCAGTTTGCCTTCTCCATGCTGTTTTCACAATGAAAATCGAGCGAACATTGTAAATACGGCTAGAATTTAAATTTTTGTTCGAGTTTACATGCAATCTGCTAATATATTTGTTTATTTTCTGTGCATATACATTTCGTTCGTATTTACTTCTTTCTTTCGTGATCGGAAGACGATTATTAAAAATACAGCTGTAAATTGAAACCACTGTAGTTGCGTATCGTGAGCAATAATTGGCAACAATGTCGGGCGACAATGAATTCAAGCACTTGATAACTGCTTGCAGACTTCCAATGGATATTGTTTATGTTTGGACTATTGAAACAATAGCAAAATAAAGGGTTGGGCAACTACTCTTTTGTTTAGGCTTGGGAAGAACAATGCAAGCTTTTTACAAATAATTTCAGCTGGATGTACATTGGTGGGTGGGTGTTGAGTTACTGGGCGGTCGTAAAACTTGATGGGCGGGCCGCCCGCCTAAAACCCCTTGTGGAGAACACTGGGGGGGGTGAACTATTCATCGCATTGAAACATTGTATAGTATTGCACATAATTCATGTTTCTATTCTGTTTTGTTATCGCAGGTCTAGACTATGTTGCACATGAAGATTTACTGCCGTACTCATCTACTGAGAGAAATCCAATATTTCATGAGTTATTTGATAGATTCCTCCAATATGAAAGCGGACATGGTATGTCTATAAACTTGTGACAATATATCAGTGTTTGTTTTCCATCTCCTGATTTTCCTCATGCTTTGAGGTGTTTTATAAAAAGTATGAATTTTATAAAAAGACCCTCACCTGGAGCTAGCTGTTTTACTGTCATGAAAACACAGTATCTATTTGATATATCTGACATCTCGAAGAAAATGGTGACTTCTCTTGTTCATTTGATTCTAGTGAACACCCCCTGTTTTACTTCTTGTTCGATTGACGTATGTATTTCTGATATCACAGAGCTTGTACATTTGTTGTGATTTCATCAGTAATACTGTTTATCTTATGGCCTAAGTAGTGGCTGAAATTAAATATTTCTGTTTATTCCAACAGTATGGGTCGAGGGGAAAGCTGCCTATGTATAATTAACTTCCAACCAAACTTGTACTTGGCTTTTATGTATTCTTCAGATCCACCATTTTCACCGAAAGAGACTTTACGAGCTTGGCAAGAAAAAAACCACCCTTGGTTAGAACTTTCTGATGTCCACAGAGAAACCACAGAAAATGTTAGAGTGACTGTAATCCCATTTTACATGGGTTGTAGGGTGAGTTTTTGTGTTGTTTAGTTTGTACTTACCGGTAACACCTAGATATGTGAAATTTCAGTCAAAAATGAACTCTTAAAAGAATTGGAATTATTGCTGCTAACTTTTATTGATGATGTATGTCTTTACATTCATAGTATCTCTTTTAATGTTCCTACAGGAATCCCAGAATTCACATGTGTATTGGGTAAGTAATAATGTCAATTATGCTATCAGAAATATATCATTGTAACTAAACAGTATTTGTCACTACTACAAAGTAACAGTATTAGTCACTACTACAAAGTAACAGTATTAGTCACTACTACAAAGTAACAGTATTAGTCACTACTACAAAGTAACAGTATTTGTCACTACTACAAAGTAACAGTATTAGTCACTACTACAAAGTAACAGTATTAGTCACTACTACAAAGTAACAGTATTAGTCACTACTACAAAGTAACAGTATTAGTCACTACTACAAAGTAACAGTATTAGTCACTACTACAAAGTAACAGTATTTGTCACTACTACAAAGTAACAGTATTAGTCACTACTACAAAGTAACAGTATTAGTCACTACTACAAAGTAACAGTATTAGTCACTACTACAAAGTAACAGTATTAGTCACTACTACAAAGTAACAGTATTAGTCACTACTACAAAGTAACAGTATTAGTCACTACTACAAAGTAACAGTATTAGTCACTACTACAAAGTAACAGTATTAGTCACTACTACAAAGTAACAGTATTTGTCACTACTACAAAGTAACAGTATTAGTCACTACTACAAAGTAACAGTATTAGTCACTACTACAAAGTAACACAGTATTAGTCACTACTACAAAGTAACACAGTATCTATCAGTGTCTTCACACAGTAAAACAAGCCAACCATTAACCTTGTGGTTACTGCTTACTATGCCATCTTTATGTTTCTTACAGTGGAGGTATTGTATTAGACTAGAAAACTTAGGTGAGGACACTGTGCAATTACGTGAGAGGCACTGGAGAATATTCAGCTTATCTGGAACATTAGAAACAGTGAGAGGGAGAGGGGTTGTTGGCCAGGTATGTCAAATGTCAGGCTATTCTGACTTTGTTTTTAAATATTATATTCTGTGAGCATAGCAAACATACTATCGCTTCAAGGACTGACATTATTCATGAATCAACAATGCATTTTCCCCTAGTTCAAGACTTTTTTTTATTTTTTAGGAACCTATTTTATCAAAAGAGCAGCCGGCTTTTCAGTATAGTAGTCATGTTTCATTACAAGCCCCTAGTGGTCATATGTGGTAAGTTATGCTGCATATTTGTTATAACACCTCATCCCATTGGCTTATGCACCTTGATAGCAATATACAGCTGATCATCAACCAATAGAAAACAATGTATCATAGATGTTGAATTTGTTAATGCTTCAATGTAATCAGTCAGAACCATAATATGCAATCAGCTAGTCTCACTACGTGTATGGCGCTGTCAGTGGCCATGTGTGCTCATTATTCACAGTATTTGTGTTTTATTAAATACTGCAATGTTGTCATTTTCATTAGTTTTGTGTGACTTCTCTAGCTGTCCTTTCAGTGTCATTGATGAAAGCGCAATAAGTGCCATAAACCGTTCTTGTTGCCGAAAATGTTCCAGATTTGGTAATTAGACTGCTTTTGAACTAAATTTGACAAGATTCATTGTGAACTGTGCCACAAAAAGTCACAGTGAATTATTATTTAGTCTTGTGACAATTTTAATGAAAAGAATTATTGCCACATACATGTACCAATTCCACTAATTCTCAAATCTGAAATGTTGGAGGCAATACAATCTAGCTGAGTTGAGGCGCTATGCCACTAACACTGACAATGCTATCGACTACTTCTAAAATTGCCATGGATTTGCCCGTGTTGCAGGGATATTTTAGGTTTTTTCTTTGTTCTCAATTGTGGGCCGTAGTTCTAAACAAACCCACACATGATTGAACAGTTAGCAAATGAAATTGAACAATCAAATGGGGAGTCAGAACTATTATCAACATCTGAACACACTGAAAACATCTGAACACGCTGTAAACATCTGAACACACTGGAAACATCTGAACACACTGGAAACATCTGAACACGCTGTAAACATCTGAACACACTGAAAACATCTGAACACACTGAAAACATCTGAACACACTGGAAACATCTGAACACACTGGAAACATCTGAACACACTGGAAACATCTGAAAACACTGGAAACATCTGAACACACTGAAAACATCTGAACACACTGAAAACATCTGAACACACTGAAAACATCTGAACACACCGGAAACATATGAATACACTGAAAACATATGAACACACTGAAAACATCTGAACACACTGAAAACATCTGAACACACTAAAAACATCTGAACACAATGGAAACATCTGAACACAAGGAAAATATCTGAACAGAGTTTATTACATAAATGTAGTATTTCCAATAATTCATACAAGTTTAAGCAGATATTTGAAATAATTGTCCCATGATCTAGATACAAATAAAGCTTGATAAATAATCTCAAATTACAACATTAATTTGTAAATCTTTCATGTTGATGTGATGTCAGCAATAGACGTTCTCTCTTGTGTAAGATGTATAATACACTATAACAACAAAATAATGAGTGCCCTATAGTGAACTAATGTCACATTTAAACCTCTTTTGGTACCATCATTTTTCTTGACAAAATTTTGTTTTTCTACAATTTTAAACCAGATGTACTTAAATTTTTATTGGCCACAAGTCTCGAACAATATTTTTGAAAACAAATGTGACAAAAATTATGTTGGTTCTACTTGGTGAAGGCGAGAAAAAGTTGACTTTGGCATCCAAACTGTTTTGTTATATGGCATGAACTCTCATAGCAAAAATTCACTTTTACTTACCACTATTTCATGACTAAATTAAAGAATCTTCTGCATCACACTAATGTCCGCTTTTAAGTTTAATTTAATTTTAATGTTTACCTATATTTATTTTTTCAGGGGTACATTCAGAATGGAGTTGCCAGATGGTCACTCATTTGATTGCCGTATTCCACCATTTTCATTAGAAAGTAAACAAGACGACGCTTCAAATCCACATGGTTTCTTTGGATGAAAGTGATGTATGATATATATTTATTTACGCAAATAGGAATAACAAATATTGATTGGAAGATGTGGATTGGAAATTGGAGAATTTCAACTGTCAGTTTAATTATACTTCAGCATTTGAATTTTTTATGAATATAGTAGAGGATGAGTGTAGATTCACAGCCTGCTCTCTTGTTTGGACTCATTTTGATACATTGTTAAATAAGACAAGAATTAGATTTTCTTTTCTTCTTTTTGTAGTATATTGGATTGCCTGGAAGTAGGGGGGGGGACAGAATATAATTTTCAGAAATTTCAGAAATAGTCGTAATCTGAAATTTTAGTTTCTGACCTCCCTGGCATACAATGTGCTTTTGTAGTTAGATAGCTGAGTAACTAGTAAACATAAAATTACATGTATATACATTTGTATGTGTAGCGTAAGGGTAGTCACATTTCTTAACATCAAGTCTTGGGAGTATTGTGGCAGCAAGTTAGCTCACTAATTACCAATCACTAAAGCAGTTGACCTACAATTTCTGTCACCATCAAATGCTAGTCATCTCAAAAAACAACATTTTAAATACGTTTATGAGGTATGAGTGAAAAGTATGTAAAATTTTTTGCAATCGTCAAATCTGTTTTGTCAAAAGTTGTCAGTGATTTAGTGAGCAACTTCACTAACTTGCTGCCGCAATACTACTGATACTTGCTGTATTAAACTAGTTTAATATTGAAAGGAATTTTTTTATGTTCTTTATCACCTGATATTAACAACTTACTTTTACAGATATATTGTAGTTTTGGTGTTTAAATAAGTTTCTGGTATGGTGCTGAGAAATATAATCACCATAGTTTATTGTCATAGGATTTTCGATTTAGTTTAAACTAATATTTTTTTCTAAAAAAGCTGAACAAGAAAATCCAAAGATGTAGACCAGTTACAATTCATATTTATTTGATGAGTGACAAATATTTACAATTTATATTACTGAAGTGCTCTAGATGATGCCAAATGTTTTTAGTCTCTGTTCTGACAGTTTGGAACAGGTACATGTACTGCTACTCGATGATTTGGTTGTGTCCATGCACAGACCAGTTTGAATGAAGTCTTGTGGTCTCACAATACAACTAAACTTAGATTTAAAAACTTTAAAGCAGGACTGCATTGCACAAGAGCAAATAAATCAAGTAATAACATTTTAAAATATTAATTTTCCTGGCATTTAAAATAAAAAATTAAGTTGATTCCATCTGACTAGTGCTAGAAATTTATATTGGAGGAATTAAACCTCCCTGACAACTAAATCTAAATATCCGCCATTTCAAAACAAGTAGTACCCGGTATTCTAAAATTCCAATCACAAATCTAAGTCTTACTTAGTTTGTAAGGATATTACATTTATCCTGCATTACATTAATTTGAATTTCAAATGTGATCACTGGAAATGATTTCTTTGTGTCTATATATTTATAGTACTTTATGTTCTCTGATTGAAACACGAATACCTGGATGTGTAAGATGAGTAGATTCTGCTGACCACTACAAGCTGTGTGAAATGAACAGTATTTGTTTCTTATTATGAGTATAAGATGTGTATATTTGCTAATAGTATCTCATTTTGACATTTTGATAGCAGGCAACTTGAGAATAAATGTTATCTTCATATTTTCAGTAAGAATTGTTCATGACATTATGATAACACAAAGATCACTACTGTTAAATCTTTGCCTTTTTTGTGAAAATATTTCATTTTATCTAGAGTTTGTTTCATGGGCTGAAAATATTAAATCTTTTAAAATATTCCATAAAATCTCCCATGTGATAATAGTATTTCCCAGTTACTGGCATACTTAATAGGAAGTTCCAATAATGACAAGCTTTCTCTGGCGCTACAACCTGTTGATGCAGCGACCCCAAAGTTCAAATTACTGAACTTTTGTTTTTTTGCTTTAATGTACTGGTGTGGATTTATTTCACAGTGATGCTTTCTCTATTATGACTATTGTTTTTAGATTTGGAAAAAAAATCAAAATGTAAATAAATTTGTATCATTGAATATATAATATTTGTTTTATTTATTTATTAATGGTTTGTAACATGCAACCGAATTGAATGTATATGTCCTTGGGCATGGAGACAACTCAAATACAGTTGTATGTGTGTTTGTATGTATAGGATGTAATGTATGAGTAAGTGTACAATTGTTCAAATATTGAACAACACAAGGACCACAGGCCTGAGTGAAATTCAATTTCTGAACAATTGCATGACCATAAATCCATTTCTGGCTTAAAACAGGTCAACCCAGGGGTGAATACAATAGGTTTGTATGAACCCCAAAAATCGGAAGATTTGAATGGGTTTACTGGACCCGTCGTACATCGTCTGTCAACTTTTATTCAAGCGATTTCTTCACATGTATTTACATATTAGGTTATTGCAGGTCGATGAGTTACACTCCATAATAAGCTTGTGAATATTACTACACTGTCACATCAAGTTCTCGGTAGACTGAAGAACAAGGTGTTTGAATCCAATCACTGGCCCTGCTTCTAGTACCATCACTTCAAAATTGGGTATTTTCTTTAATCATATTAGGTCTTTAAAACAAGACTTGTGATTTTGTATCTTGTATAATGGCTTGTGGTGGTGCAATAAATTGATATTGTACTGGTAAGGATGTAATCATACAGATAATGAACAAAGAGTGTTGTATAATGGCTTGTGGTGGTGCAATAAATTGATATTGTACTGGTAAGGATGTAATCATACAGATAATGAACAAAGAGTGTTGTATAATGGCTTGTGGTGGTGCAATAAATTGATATTGTACTGGTAAGGATGTAATCATACAGATAATGAACAAAGAGTTGTATAATGGCTTGTGGTGGTGCAATAAATTGGTATTGTACTGGTAAGGATGTAATCATACAGATAATGAACAAAGAGTGTTGTATAATGGCTTGTGGTGGTGCAATAAATTGATATTGTACTGGTAAGGATGTAAACATACAGATAATGAACAAAGAGTGTTGTATAATGGCTTGTGGTGGTGCAATAAATTGATATTGTACTGGTAAGGATGTAAACATACAGATAATGAACAAAGAGTGTTGTGTTATATGGGGTATTAGAAGTGTTTACCTGACAAAAAAATCAACATCATGCCACATACACTGTATCAGTATTTATTCTATCAGTTCAGCGTAATAAACTAGTTTAGTAATATGAGGTTATTACGAGGATAGCTCACGTATGCATGAAGACAGTACAGCGGGAGCACCGACCAACGCGCAGCGGATGACGAAGCGATGGCGTACTGTCTGAGTGCATACTTTGAGGTATCCTCGTAATAACCTTATTATTAATAATTATACATCTTTTCCTTCCCAGGATACATCATGTTAATGCCAAAATGTTTAGAACAGAATCAATAAACTTCTTTGTGTGGCAGCCATGTTTGTTTTTGCTTATGCACATAATCATTCCATATTTGGAATTTGCATTTCCTAATATGGTAGAATGAAAATACACTGTAAAATACCGCAAAATTATGGCATGCTGTAACTTGTTGCGTTACAGTGACAGATGTATAATAATATTTTATATCTCCATACTGTGTGATTAAAATCCATTCCATCTGATTGGTCCATGAAAGCAGATTGACCTTTTGACATTATGACTTACTATTGCAAAATAATTAATATCTCAAGGATATTTGTAGTTTTACACAATATTTCTTGAATTATTACTAGGAATGATATCTGCCAGTTTCATGTGATTTACTCACATGTTCTATAGCTTTGACCTTTGTATGTTTTGTGTGGTGAGCATAGTAAATGGTGACTGTATATAGTGTTTACTGGATGCGAGGCAGTGGTATCAAAGCATGTTGTTATAACCGCTACAGATTAGTGGCTTACTGAATGAATGGTTCTAACGATTGCATGATTTATGAATACATATTGTGAAAATGAGAAATAGTTTTCAATCTGTGCATCTGTTCAATGTTGTTACTTTAACTTGCTTTTACAGAAGAAAGATGTTATAATAATCATGTCATGTACTATGCCACCTTTCCAGATGCTGTGTATGCTCCAGGTCTGGTACTGTGCCTGCAAGCCAGAAATCCCAGTACATTGAATACAAACATGTGTGTCTCTAGAATGTTGTCACTGTTGTACACACTGCATCACATGATACAAGTCACATACTTGCAGGTTGTAAGCGAATAAATAAATGTATGTTGTATCACATATGCTGAAGAAAAAAATATTCCTAGAAAAATAACAGTTTATACTAGTGGTTCATAATACATAAGCACATACATTTGTTTCATAATCCAATTCCAGATGGCCGATTGACAGCCATTTTAGTGCTAAAATTTATCTTCAATTCTTTATTTTTAATGACAATTTTTGTAAGTTTTGGTCAAATTTCTTGAAAACCTACTCAATGTCTACCAGGTGCTGTGTCTCCCTACCAGGTACTGTGTCTGCCAACCAGGTGATGTGTCTGCCTACCAGGTGCTGTGGCTCCCTACCAGGTGCTGTGTCTGCCTACCAGGTGCTGTGTCTGCCCACCAGGTACTGTGTCTGTCCACCAGGTACTGTCTCTGCCTACCACGTAATGTGTCTGCTGACCAGGTAATGTGTCTGCCGACCAGGTGCTGTGTCTGGCTATCGGATGCTGTGTCTGCCTACCAGGTACTGTGTCTGGCTACCAGGTACTGTGTCGGCCTACCAGGTGCTGTATCTGGCTACCAGGTACTGTGTCTGCCCACCAGGTGCTGTGTTGGCCTACCAGGTACTGTTTCTTCCGACCAGGTACTGTTTCTTCCGACCAGGTATTGTGTCTGCCTACCAGGTACTGTTTCTGCCTACCAGGTGCTGTGTCTGGCTACCGGATGCTGTGTCTGCCTACCGGGTACTGTGTCTGCCTACCAGGTGCTGTTTCTTCCAACCAGGTATTGTGTCTGCCTACCAGGTACTGTTTCTGCCTACCAGGTGCTGTGTCTGGCTACCTGATGCTGTGTCTGCCTACCGGGTACTGTGTCTGCCTACCAGGTGCTGTGTCTGGCTACCGGCTGCTGTGTCTGCCTACAAGGTACTGTGTCTGCCTACCAAGTGCTGTGTCTGGCTACCGGCTGCTGTGTCTGCCTACCAGGTACTGTGTCTGCCTACCAGGTACTGTGTCTGCCTACCAGGTACTGTGTCTGACCACCAGGTACTGTTTCTGCCTACCAGGTGCTGTGTCTGGCTACCGGATGCTGTGTCTGCCTACCGGGTAC